AATTGAGCCATCCCCACACTTGTAATAATACCTTGCTCCAGGTTCAAGACCTACAAAAACATATATGTATATATGTAATGTCCATTCTGCCATTGACTTCGATTGCTAATCTCCACTCTATCACTCTGCAACTACTAATTGGATCATCTTAACATCCATTGCTCATAAATAAAATTAAAGGTTACAGAAAACATCAAATTCCCAACTAGTTTTTCCTTTTTTACCGTCAATCCTCACATGGTGTATGATGCCAGAGGTGTAGTTCAAGAGGCCCTCAAACGGATACAATTGACTATAAACTGTTGCATTCCCTCTTCGTTTCATCGTGTACTTTCCACTTGCTTTCCCATACCAAACATCGCTGGAAATTGAAGAAGGATCAAGCGGAGTAACATTAGAACCAATTTGAGCTTTACCTGAACCGGAAAAAGAAACCAGACCCAGTTCGTCAAATCTCTTAAAACAACCGGACAACAGTATACATAGCACAAGAAAACAAGATAATAGAAAAATTACCAGTAACCCAAGAAACCCACATCGAGGATGGTGTGGAAATTGCAAGCGCTATCTGTTCTGGGTACATAGAGGTGACATTCCTTTTGAGTCTAGGATGATCCATTGGCAAGTCGTCGCTACCCCGACGCAGAGATTGATCGAAACGACGAGTTACAGGCTCAAATGGACCATCTAAAGTAGTGGGTATGTCATCTTTAATGGCCACCAGCTTTGTTATGATGGAGAAAAAGGTTAGGAGGAGGCAGTGTTTGACTTCCACCTTCATTACGATGTGTTTTCAGAGATCAATGGTGTTAGGAAAGAGAAAAACAAAAGATATTGATGGGGATGGAAATTTGTGATTCCTTACTGGGTTTGTTTTGTGAAGTTTGGCATATCTGTTTGACCCAATGGAATATGCCGCTTCTCCTTTTTTCTGAATTTTTGACAAGAAGGTAAAACCAAAATGAATCATCATCATCATCATCAGTAGTTTGAATTATTAATTAAATCCAAATAATAATAATTAGTTTCAGCATCAGTCTTGCCATCTTGGAATGAAAACGTGGAACTGAAGAAACTTAAATACGAAAACGTCTTTTTTTTTTTTTTGGATTAAAAATCATTTTCGATTAGTATTGAAGAAGACGCAATACCATACTTTTAATGCATGCAATGAAATGATTCCAGTTGAAAACAATTTTTAAAAATTGGAACTGGATTTATTGCATTATTTAAATATTTTTCATCTTTTTTGTCGCGACATTTTTTTTTTTTTTTTTGACAAACCAAATTCATCAGTTTCTGCTCATGTGTTCTTCAAAGGAGTGGACTCGTAATTGGTGGGGGGGGGGGGGGAGAACAGGGGGGACTCATGCCAAATGGCCTTGGGCCCACAAAACCTCTGCTGAATATATTAGAAAATTATTAATATATTATTGAATATTCTCAATGACAAATAAAAATTTAGAAATAATTGAGAAAATCAACAATGGGTGGTAAATTAATTAATTAATTAATTAATATATGTATTTATGTAAATTTTGCAAGTACCTTTAAAATAAATGGTTATTTATGTTTTAATTTTCAAATAAATACTAGTTATTAAACATCCATAAACCTTAATTAAAAGAAAAATTTACTTTGATATGTTTAATCCATTCAGTAAATAATATAAATACATATTATTATATAACTATATTGTATTTGTATAATATAAAATATAATTCATGCTAAGTGGGGTTTTTTTCATTTTAATTTCATACAAAGTGGAATTTGCTGGGTGTTATTAATTTGGGCCTGGCCCACCTGGCTGATTGGGAGTAAAAGAAAGCCCGCTGGGCTTAGAAAGAAATGAGAAATGGGTTTGAATTTTGGATGTGTGTTATATTTGTGTTTGATATTTTATGGGTATATGTATAAGCACATGGCAAAAACAATACTGAGAAAATTAAAATCATGTTTTCTCCAAATAAATAGTTTCTGGTTTATCTTAAATGCAATGAGTAAATGACATAATTGAAATCTAAGTTTATATATATATATATATATATATATATATAAGAACACCCACTTTATGCTATCTTTTGGACAATCACATAATGGTTTACATTACAGCATTTTGAAACTTAATACATCTTTAATGCACGAAAGATTTCCTTTTATTTTTTCTTTTAAAGAAAAAGGAAATGATATAGTTGTTGATAGAGTTATATATATATATATATAAGTTATATTTACACACACACATATAAATATATAAATACTCAATTTCAATTATGTACAGGTTCAAAACTTAAATAAAAATAAAGTTATAAATTAAATACGAAAGCGAAATAATAGAGTTAGAATTTACATTCTTTATACAATATTTTAGAATGTCCAATAAGGATACGAGAATATTTCTTCTAAAAGAATAAACGAAAATCAAAGAAATAAACGAAAGGCAAATAACTAAATAATTTTATGACGACTTTCACTAACTCTTGAAGGGAGTCCGGGTGGTGACCTATTCACAACTCCCTTATTGATCAGAATTTAGATCTTAGTTCTCTTGATTTAAAATAGTTAATGAATGGGTGAGATACACTAGTTTAGTAAGAATATCACATTAATCACATATACGAAAAACTAAATATTGGTAAAAATCAGAAAAATAACCAATGGAACCCTTAATTTAATGTAAATTCATTTATTATAAAGAAAATCATTTATTAAATATTGTTTAACAAGTCTTTCTCAACAATAATTTATGAAAACTCATATTCATGCACTATTTTTTATCACATATAAGATAATAAGAACAATCATTTTACATTTTTACCCGTTTACCGATATTCTTGGGGGGTCCATAGGGATGTCCTCCTACTTGTGAACCTAATATCCAATTAAACAATTAATTAGTCGTCTCCATACCCCGTCTAGTAATGGGCACCAAACATTCCAACATCACGATATCTCGTACGGTATGAAAGTGAATCATATCTCCCAAACCTTACTAGTACGGGACTTCTCAGCCCTTTACAACTAAAGTAATGTTCACAGTAGGGTTCCCTATGTACCGGGCCCGTTCGCTCTTTCCTAGGTACCCAGTAAGTCTTTACCATACAGATTTCCATCAGTATAACAATCAACCATACAATAACTATATCTCATTTTATACTCACAATTCATTTAGACAACAATATAGTTTAACACAGCCAAATAACTCATGACCGGAATACCAGCACGCAATGCAGGGGAAATAAATAACAAAATAAAAAAAAAATCCTAAAAACTATCAATTAAATTACATATAGTATAATAGTAAATAAATATAGGCAACACAGAAAAATAAATAAGAAATCGAAACGACTATGAATTAACCGGTTCCGTCTCCACTAGTGACCTGTAATTATTTTTAGAGTCGTCTAATTTTTCATAAAAAAACACAATTATCAATTATTAAACTTCAATTTGCCATAACGGAGAAAAGGGTACGAGATCTTTACCCGGAATCGGTGTCCGAAATATTGAACTTTCTATTGCGCCTACTGCGATCTCCGGGTTTCCTGAATTATCCATACGTAATCCAAAACACTTGTCACGTACCTAAAATATTATAGGAATCCAAAATCAGTGTAAAAAATACTTTTCAGC